TGACTGCCCTTAAAAGCTGCAGGTGTGCCATAATGCAAACTGTCTAAAATGTGTCCACACAGAAACAAGTCAGCACTGCAGAAATAAATGCAGTCCAGAAACAGGAACAAAGGCCTTTTTGAAGGATAATTTTCAAACAAGCTTGTCCCCCAGAAAACCATGCCAGAAGAGGAAGGACTCTTAGTGTCACATTGGGCCTCAGTCTCCAGCTAAAGACACAAACACTATTGACATCCCAACACCAAGAAAGCTCTTTATACAGCTTAGCATCACTTAGAAAAGGAAGAAATTATTGTGAATTGGTGTAAATTACCCTGAGAAAGATGAAAACATTCTGAAATGGTTTTGTCCTCCAGGATTTTTTTTCTTGTTGGGGGCAGGGGAAACACATCCATAAGCTTTTAATTAACCTGTTTAACTCAAAATGAGTTCTCTCAGGAGAAATATTTGAAACACATGAATACATGATTTGAAAAGCATGACTACAAGGTTACCTGAACCCCGGCCAAGCTAACAACCCCCTTAGAAGACCTCTCATTAAAAGTTTTCCCCTATAGAGTCACTATACAGTTTTGTAAGTAAGATATTTGTAGGGGAGACTGGAAGACAAAATTGCACCAAAATGCATCTTGAAGGTTGAACAACACTTGTAAAGATGAAAGCAAATGGGTTATTGCCAAAAAAAAAAAATGAAAAGAAGCTCAACATCAATAATTACTGGGGAAATGTGAATCAAAATTGTAATGAGATACCATCTCACACCCTTTGGGATAGCTACTATCTAAAAAAAAAAAAAAAAGTAACAGGTGTTGGCAAGGAGGTGGAGAAGCTGGGATCCTGCTGCCCTCTTGTTGGGAATGGAAAATGGTGCAGCTGCTACTGAGAACAGGATGATGACTTCTTTAAAAATTAAAAATAGAATTACCAGATGATCCAACAACTATTCTTCTGGTTCCGTAGCCCAAAGATTCTGTCAGGAGCTTAAAGAGATATTTGCACCTGCTAATTTCATGGTGTATTATTCACTGTAAGAGCTTGGAAGACACCTGCTTTTTCCCTTCTGGAGCCTCTGCTAATAGTACAGTGCCTTGGTACATAATTGGTGTTCATTAAATATTTCTTGAATGAGCTAAAGAAATGAATGAATGACAGCTGATAGGCAGTGTAACTATAGTCAAGAGTGTCATTTCGCTGTTAACTAGAAATTGCTGTTCTAAATAAGATTCATTAATCCTCATTAAAGAAGGATTTTTTTGCTTTTTATTCGTTTTATTTTCTTAAAATAATTATATCAAAGCACTGAATCACAAGACACATCCTGACTTCATTCATCCAGTTTCACATTCTGTATACTCAAACACTCCTTTTCCTCAATTCCTCATCTTTAAAGCTAAGGAAAGAAACCTCTCTTTCTAATTCCCAAAAGCATTATTTAAGGTTCATTTGAGAACGTATACCACAAGTGTCTTTGGAAGTTGTGAAGTACCACGTAGGAATCTTGGGTTTATATATTCATCCTGCTCTAGATTTGTTGTTGTTGTTAGTACATTTGCCTTTGCTTTTTATCAGGGGTTTAATTATTTCCAGGTGAGGCAGTGTGGGACCTAGCCAGAGGTGGCAGTTCCGCCCTAAGCAACATCCATTTGTAGGCCAGCACTGCCCTCTGGTGGAAATAGTATGGCAGGGCATATGTGGTTAACCACCCGGAATTGCCAGGAATGATGCTTATTGAAAGGTGTTAAAAGAAACCACTTATTGGCAGCCACCTGCACTATGCAGGTGCCTCTCTTTTTCTTTCTGTTCCTAATAAACCTGTCCCTTTAAAGCATAAAAAAGAGAAAGAAGCCACATATTTAAGTATTGCTTTAAACAAATGGCTTCTTCCCCTCTTCTGCCACAGAATATTCTTTTGGAAATATTTTCTCACATATGCACGTAGTAGGCCCATTACACCATCAACTTGTGTAATTATTATTACTTACAGTTAATAGGCACAGAAGAGGTTTGCAATTCTTTATATATTTCAATATTCTATTTCTTTGACATTTCAACTTCAATATTCAATATCTTAATCATTCAATAATTTCACTTTTCAAATATTTAAAATCCCCACATGTTGAGACTATTGATGGAAGTACATAAAGTAGGTATTCATATTATTATGGATCATGTAGAATAATTATTTATATGTAAAATATGCCCATGAAGCCAGAATCTCAAGGGCCATCTTTAAACACATGACAGTTCTCCCTGAATAAGTCTGGTGACACTGAGCAAACTGTTTAACATTCCTGGGGCCTCATCTTCCAAATAAAGGGAAAGAATTAGGTGATGTCTAAGACTCTGTGCTGCTCTGAAATGATCAAGAATAGATCAAGATGTGGTATGTTTACACAATGCAATACTACTCAGCGATCAAAAAGGTAAACTCATACTATTTGCAGCAACATGAACAGAGCTGGAAGGGATTATGCTAAGCAAAATAAGACAGACAGAAAAAGAAAACTAAAGGATGGTTTCATTGATAGGAGGAATATGGGGAAACCAAATAAAGGGTCAGGAAATAGGTAAAACTTGCAGGCAAACCACAAATTTGAGGCACAACACAGGGGAAGGGGATAGAGGAGTCAAAACAGGGTTGGGAAGAGCACAAGAGACTGTGGTGATGATTCAGGGGTGCTATGTCAGTGGGAATATTATGGGGACTACCCCTGAGAGGAGAAATCAAGTATTGTACAAAAATGAACAATGACATAAGAAAAAATAAATAAAATAAGAAATGCATTTAAAGGCCATTATCTGATGCCAGCTGAACAGACTTCAGACTGCTTGTGCCAACACAGTTCTAAAAGACACCCCCACAGAACCTGAAACCGATCCGGTCCCTCCCGTCCTTCCTTTTCCTGCCCTACCACCACCTTTACACACACTCCCTCCACAGCATCTAGAGGAGACTGCTCACGTCCTCTCTCCCCGCTCACCTCTTCTTTCTTAACCTCCTCAATCCCTTCCACACACATCCTGCTCCAGACATAATAACAATCATAAGCACAATCACCTTTGGTGTCTCAACAAATGTATGAGGTGGATACTCTACATCCACACTTTGACAACCACACACACCCTTTCGCAGGCCTCACCACAGAAGAGTCCACTGAAAAAGGATATTTTATGTATCACTAACCATTTAAAATGCCTTTCTCCTGGGCCTCCCCTGGAGGCGCAGCAGTTAAGCACAGGGCTGCAAAGCTGCCCACAGCTTCTGCAGCGCTGGTTCCATCCCTGGCCACTGGCAAGGGTCCCACATGGCGCGCAGACCTCTCCTGCTGCGCCCACTGCTCCCCTCAGCAGTGTACTTCGGTCCTTCTGCCTGTTCTGTTCCCCGCTCTGGCTCTGGTGAATTCTCTCACCCTTCCACGCTTCTGACTGTACCCAGTGCTTGTATAAATAAATAAATCTTTTTAAAAAATGCAAAAAATAATAAAATGCTTTTCTCCTGAATCAGCCCCATTTTCTCTTGGAAACAAATCACTCATTCCCTGTTTCCATTCCTGGCTCTCCCCCACCCATCTCTGCCCTCCCTTTTCTTCCCTTCCCATCTTCTCTCCAGCCTCTCTCTTGACCTTCCATTTCCCCACCCCATCTCCATCAGCACCTTGCTCCTTCCCCCCACTTCCCTGTGCACTTCTCTCCCCATTCCCTCACCCACACCCCCACTCCACTTCCACATACCTGATACACGAACTTCAAGAAAAGCTCAGTGTCTTCCTGCTCCGGGATTCGCAGTCTCCACTCATGTTATGGGATTCCCACTATCTGGAATCAATTTCCTAAGAGCCACCCCCAACCCCACCTTCTTCCTCCTTCTCCAAACTCAATCAATGATGGTACCTGCTCAGACTCTTCTTCCCTCTCTTTGTCTTCAGCCTTCATCCTCACCTGGCCCATTGTCCACACCTTGCAATTACGCTTTCTTTCTTTTTTTCATTTCAACCTGATCATTCTGCCCTCTGCTTTCTTTTTTAAAGATTTATTTATTTATACAAGAACTGGGGTACAGGCCAGAGGCGCAGGAGGGTGAGAGAATTCACCAGAGACAGAGCGGGGAGCAGAACAGGTAGAAGGACCAAAATACACTGCTGAAGGAACAGCGGGCAGGACAGGAGAGGTCTGCCACACCATGTGGGTATCTCCCTGGACAGCCAGAAATCTAACCCGCACTGCAGAGGCTGCGGACAGCTTCGCAGCACGGCATTCAACCCAGGGAGGCCCTATCCTCTGCTTTTTTACTTAGAATTCATTCCAAACTCCTTAGACTAGCACGGAACACTATGCTACATCTGGTCCTGACATTCATGCATTTAGCATTAAACACCAGCTATTGTAACTATGCATTCATTAAAGAATCAGTGATACTTATGTTATTGTTCTAGGTACTGAATAGATGTTATAATCACGGTAATACAGGGAAGTTGTCATATTTTTAATAACACATGTTTTTTGCTCTGATGGGATAAAACATATGTTTCTGTAGCTGATGGTTCTTTTTACACCTCTCTGATAATTAAGACCCTGCTGGAGCTGATGGTCCCCTAGCACAATCTTCCTTAACTTTTAAAAACTTTATAATACCCTGTGCCACATAATGATGCTATATGCCTAGGTCTAGATGAAAGTAAAGGATTACTCACTCAAAATTAGAAGTTAAAATAATGAACTTAATATAGAATGAACCCTATTATATTTAAGATAACAAATATCCCGAAGCAACAGTCAGAGATGTTAGACATCAATTTACACACACACATAAAAAAAAACCCACCCAATTATACATAATTTCATGCTAATCTGAATGATGCCCTTTTTCTTTTGGCATGCATCATTCAAATAGAAACACCCCCATAATTGCGTATAAAAGCCGAGCGAAATCTTTCCCACACGATATTCTGTTCTTTGCAGCCGAGCTGTCCCCAGGAAGGACGAACGTTTCTCAAGCGGCCATGTCTCTCCGATTTTCCAGCGGGTCCAGGCCTGTTTGCTTACGGCCTGGAACTGGCTCTGTCAGGCCATCCAGCGGCGGCGCGGGCAGCCCCCTGGTGGGAAATGGACTGTCCTGCGCCTTGGTCGGGGGCTTGGGCGGCGCTGCTGGTGGGAACCACACGGGCGGTGCCCTTGGGAATGCAGGCTGCGCTGGCTTTGCTGGCAGCGAGGGCGGCCTCCTGTCCGGCAACGAGAAAGTGACCATGCAGAACCTCAATGACCGCCTGGCCTCCTACCTGGACAACGTGCGCGCCCTGGAGGAGGCCAACGCCGAGCTGGAGAGAAAAATCAAGGGCTGGTATGAGAAATTCGGACCTGGATCTTGCCGTGGACTTGATCACGACTACAGCAGATACCACCTATCCATTGAAGATCTGAAGAGTAAGGTGAGAAATCCCAAATTTCAAACCTCAAAGTATTTTTTTCTTAAAGATTTATTTATTTATGTATGAAAGAGCTGGGGTGTAGGCCAGAGGTGGGGGGGTTGGAGGATTCACCGCAGTGGGGAGCAGACTAGGTGGAGCCACTGAAGTACACTGCTGAGGGGAGCAGCAGGTGAGATAGGAGAGGTCTGCTGTGCCATGTGGGTCACCTCCCTGGCTGGAGATGGAACTTGTGCTTCATAGTGCTGAGACTTAACCCCTTGTGCCACCAGGAGGCCCCTGAAACTTTAAAGTAATTAAAGCTAAGAATTACTTTCTTAGCAAAAGACATATAGCAACAACAGGAAATGCTTTATCTGTAATTTATATTGTATTGACTTATTTATTTTGGTAAATAATTCTTCCTATCAAAATAGGCACTTTTAGGCCTCCCCTGGTGGCGCAGGCGGTTGAGCGCAGCGCTGTGAAGCTGTCCGCAGCCTCTGCAGCGCCGGTTCGATCCCTGCCTGCTGGCAAGGGTCCCACATGGCGCAGCAGACCTCTCCTGTCTTGCCCGCTGCTCCCCTCAGCAGTGTATTTCAGTAGATCTGCCTGTTCTGTTCCCCCACTCTGTCTCTGGTGAATCCTCTCACCCTCCCATGCATCTGGCTTGTACCCCAGTTCTTGTACAAATAAATAAATAAATCTTTTTTTAAAAAAAAGGCACTTTTATTCATGAATATCAATGTAATTTAAATGTTGCTAGTTTTATTATTTTGAAATATAGTCACTGATAAAAATGTAGTCTATTCTAAAAGCTCTTATGAGCATATGAGAATAAAATCTTATTTATAATTTTTAAAAATTAAATTTTAGACATGTTGGTTGTTACTTAAGGAAGTATATTTCAAAAGCTCAATTGTGTAACATTTTTTTATTTCCCAAAAAAATAAGTTATGAGACTAATTTCTTGTGTTCTCCTTTTGATTTCTTGCAGATCATCTCTTCTACCACTGCTAATGCTAATGTCATTCTACAGATTGATAATGCCAGATTGGCCGCTGATGATTTCCGGCTAAAGTGAGTAGACAGAAAAAAATTCAAAAAAAAATTTTCCTATCTACTTGACGTGTGAAATAAAATTTCATTTTCAACCTAACTAGAATGAACAACTAGCTTATAGCTTGTAGTTGAAGGAAGTAATGCCTCCTATAACACTACACTTCATGCAAGCAGGTCATATTGCAATCAGCTACACTCATGATTTATATGTGTTTATTGTGTGTTTGTAATCTAAGAACAAAATATCACTGTATTTCTGTGCCAACCCAGAATAGTGCCATGCACAAGATAGATATTCCTAAATATTTGTCAAGTAAGTAATTTTTTAAAGATTTATTTATTTATTTATTTATTTATTTATTTATTTATTTATACAAGCACTGGGTACAGTCAGAAGCACAGGAGGGTGAGAGAATTCACCAGAGCCAGAGCGGGGAACGGAACAGGCAGACTGACAAAATACACTGCTGAGGGGAGCAGCGGGCACGGCAGGAGAGGTCTGTCGCAACATGTGGGACCCTCACCAGAGGCTGGGGATCGAACCGGCACTGCAGAGGCTGCAAGCAGTTTCTCAGCCCAGCGCTCAACAGCTGCGCCACCAGAGGAGGCCCTCAACTAAGTAATTTTAACTAAGATAAAATTCTGCAGTGGCATACTTTCACTTAATTGGCATATACTTTCACTGTAATGTTTATGCTAAAGAACTGCTGTTGATCCTGCACAGAACTGGGTGAGCAGAGTGGAAGCGGCTTTTTGGGTATATTTTTTGTAATATTTGGCGTCCTGGTTTAATTTCTAACTTTCAGTTTGAAGCAACAGAGGTTTTATTGCTCATATCTTGAAGTCGTCTAACTTGTTCTGAAATTCACTGAATGCCCCTCAAGGTATGAGAACGAGCTGGCCCTCCACCAGAACACAGAGGCAGACATCAACGGGCTGAGGCGGGTCCTGGATGAGCTGACCCTCTGCAGGACCGACCAAGAGCTGCAGTACGAGTCCCTGAGTGAGGAGATGACATATCTCAAGAAGAACCACGAGGAGGTAGGAGAAGCTTTCATTCTATTCAAATGGCAGCTCTGTACATTTTCCATATGGGGGCGGGGGGACAGAAGAGAGTGTTAAATTATAAGAGTAATTCAGCCTCATTACAGCAACTCAAACAATGCCAAGGGATTAAAGGAAGAAATTCCCTTCTCCCACTCTGCCTCTGTAATCTCATCCCCTGAGGTAATAAATATGAACAAGTTGACCTGTGTCCTTCCATTTTTCAGGCTGATATATTCCATCTTTTGGAAAATAAAGCATTGCTTTTCTATTAATACAACCATCTTTCCCCACACTAGATAGATCATTTCTCTGATTCAACAGGCACGTCTTAGGTTAGCCTTCTCACCAAAGACCCCCAACTAGGGAAGATGTCAGTGTTTTCCCCACTGCACAAGCCTGGATTTATTCTAATGTCAAAGCCTGCACAATAACAAGCTCACTGTTTGATACATAACACCAGACAAAGCCAACTTCCTTAAAAAAAAAAAAAAAGTATTGTCCCAGAGGAATTGCAGAAGTTTCCAAAATAATGAATGACAGATTTTCAGGAGCCACCCAATAATAGGAGTGTCCTATCATTGACTAAGACACCAAACCTCCTTACCCCAGTGAGAAAATTATGGGAGAGGGGAAAAGCACATTACAATAAAAATGTTAGAATGAAAGAGAAGTGAAAAGAGAGGACAGTCACAGAGCAGAGGACTGGAGGAGGAAGGCGACCAGAGAGTGTTAGCAAGAGAGCGGAAAAGCCTGAGTGTGAAACAAAAAAAGAAACCAGCTCGGAAGAGAAGTGATAAGGACCACAGTGAGCAGCCCAGCCAGCCTGCACCTTCAGGGTGGGGTCAGGATCACAGCTCACCGAGGCCCCTCTGAATGCACTGAGGCAGGGAACCAAGACCCACTCACATCTCTGCACCCCTGAGAGTGTCCTCTTTATCAAGCTCACCCATGACCAGTGTCCTGAAGGTAACACCAAGCAATTCAATTTCTAAGCTTTTGTAGCAACAAGAATTCTTCACATGGAATCTTATGCAAAACCTCAAAATATGGGCAAGGTAAATCTTTTGCTCTTGGTGGATACTGGAAAGTCGCTGATCACAGGACACAGAGAGATGGTGTAAGAAAACAGAGATACCCATCCATCAAAAGCAAAATGAAAAAGGCATGGCTCCCTAAAGAACTAAGTTCCATCATTCATAGGCTGATTTGTCCAGAAACCCATTCCCTGGCCAGGCAAGACAGCTGAGTGACCCCGGTAGGGCCCAGTGCAGCTGCTAAGCAGATGCTGTGGAGCCAGCATCCACCTTGTTCAGTATTAAGTATCTTGGGAGAGGTATGCTACCTCTCTGTGCCTGTTTTCTAATCTGTTAAATAAGTCCAGCAATAGTGCCTACCACATAAAAATGTTAGAAGAGTTGAATGTATGAATGCATAGAAACTGCCGAGAACGGGGTCTGACCTGTGACAAGCACTCGGTAATGGATTGCAGTTACCCTGAGATGCCAGTTCCAAGGAGGGTAGGGATGGTTATGTGCCCTTTCCACTGCTCTATTCCCATCAACAAGGGCTTTTCCTGGTATTAGTCACAATTGATGTGCTTGATAACACTCTGGCCTTTTTATCCCTTTCTTGATTAAAAGAATAAAATGCTTCTCCTAAGATGCTGTATACCGCCTTCGCTGAGGTGTCGGTTATAGTTGTTTTAATAACACGTCATTAAAAACACATAATTAAATAGATGGCTGGCATGATTACGGATCCAGCGAGTCTATCTGAAAAATCTTGAATGGGTTTCCCTTCTGGGGTGAGTCAACTGTTCTCTCGAGGTTAAGCCACGAACCTTGCACGATCAAGTACCTCTCTGAAAATTCTCCTCGGGCATTGGGTGAATACAAAGAGCCCCTGAGTCACACTCCTTTCCCTGCAGGAGATGAAGGCGCTGCAGTGCGCAGCGGGCGGCAACGTGAACGTGGAAATGAACGCGGCGCCCGGTGTGGACCTCACGGTGCTGCTCAACAACATGCGGGCCGAGTACGAAGACCTGGCAGAGCAGAACCGCAGGGACGCCGAGGCCTGGTTCAACGAGAAGGCGAGTCTTGCCACAAACAGCCCCGCAGCGCTGGGGGGTGCTCACAAAGCTAAGGTTTGCCTCTTGCCTCTCCCCAGAGCGCCTCGCTGCAGCAGCAGATCTCCGACGACGCTGGCGCAGCCACCTCGGCCCGCAACGAGCTGACCGAACTGAAGCGCGCCATGCAGACCCTGGAGATCGAGCTGCAGTCCCTGCTTGCCATGGTAGGTGACAGCGTGGGTAGCCCGGGCTTGGGGATTTGAAAAGTCTCTCTGAGCCCTGCCTTGCTTCCCGGTAAGTAGCTTTACTCACATATGCTTAAAAGAGCAGAAAGACAGACACACAGAAAGAGAGACAGAGTGTCTCCTCCTCACAAGACCTCTGAGGCTTCCGTCCAGGCTGGGCTCAGCGACCCTGGCTTGAAAATAGCTCAAGGTTCTCGAAGCATTTTGCTCCCCCTGAGCAGTCAGCGGCAGGCCTGTGTCCTGCTGCTGCGCCTGGCAGGGCCCGCGTGCCTGACATCTCCAAATAGTGATGCCAAGTGCACATCATCCCGCAGAGCGAAGCAGTGCGCACCTGCTCCCACAGAGCCCCCTCGTCAGCTTCATCCCCACGTGTCCCTCCCAGCATCCTCCATACCCAGCCGGTTCCTTCAGAGGTTACCATAGAGACCACCCAAGACTAAAACTGGCTGACCTTCTGGGGAGTCAGGTGGCAGTACTCAAAAGGCTTGATTTAGAAAGTCATGCACAGACATAGCCCCAGTTTCCCTGTCCCTGTAAGATGTTTCCTGCTCCCTAAGGTCACCCGATTGTGGCACAAAGAAAAAGGCAACAGGTATTGCACAAATGAGTCTATGAGTCAGGAAGGAAAAGATGATGGTTGTGATGGAGACACCCAAAAGAGTGAGCCCTCTTACCATGCACATCTCATGAGATTTGTTTTTCACCGCTGCCCAGTCCCCATCCAATCAGCCTGACCCTCTTCTCAGCCTTGTGGCCACTGCCGACTGGTACCTGGACCCTCCCTGCCACTGTGGATTCCTGGGGTGCTCCTCCCTTCCCATCCCCCTTTTCCCTGCAAGTAGAACCCGAGGACCTGGTCCTGCTGAGCACATGTCCTCCCTCCCATTCCCAAGCTGTGTCCAAGGAAATAAATCCCTGGGTCCCCAGGATGGAATTTTGTGCATTTTCACATAGAAGCAATGATGTTAGAAAGCAATATATGTATAATTTTCTAAGAGCATGCTTCCATGTGAAAATGTCTATGCCCACACTCATACACAGACATGTATACAGTGGAATTTCATAACATTTATGAGCATACTGGAAAACAAAGGAAAGAGCTCATTCTGTGCTGCCAGAAGTACTATAGTTTGGACTCAGGAAATAACCCAAAAAAAAAAAATTTAACAAACAACATAACTGAATTATAGACTCATGGTGACATTGAACTTAACTTTCATACCTAAGAATCATTTGGCGTAAGATGAACTCTGAGCTCCATCTTCCTAGGTTAGCACACAAATCATGTGTAAGCTGGGCACTGTCTAAATATATAAATATGTCATATGCTTTCTGTAGTATCCAAACTGCCCAGTTCCACCTGCCCTCCTTCCCCATCTATAGTCAACCTTTAGAAGGAAGGCTCTGAAATAGAGATCCCGCCCAACTGATTTAAGAGAGTATTAGTGATCTTTAATAAATATGTGGTGATATCATGGGGGAAATTAAAGTTCTGAGCAGCCAAGCACATGCCTCCCTGACACCTGGCCACTTGCTGCCTCGCCTTGCCCAGGTCATCCTGCCCACCTTCCCCCCTCTGCCCTAGAGAGGCCAGCACCACTTAGCCAGTCTGCCTGGCTAAGTCAGTGGTTCTTAGCCCATTAGACCCAGTATCCGCTTAATAAGATTAATATTTTATAACTTCTTCTTTAATCCTATTATGAAGGCAATACATAATCTACTTAGCCCTACACAGAACATCTTAAACCAAAATTTCTCCCAGACCTGCAATAACAAGGAAAGCTGAAAGTATTGTTAAATATATATATTTACAGTTAGGTCCAACCACCCCAAAACATGGACTGAAAGAGACAGAGACTTGTGCCTTCCTTTGATGAGTTTTATTTTAAGTTTTATTTTAAGTTTTATTTTAAGTAATCAGGATCAGGAGTTGCTCCACACAAGAAGGGAAATGGAGTGTAAGTGAGGGTGGCTGCACAGGTAAGAACTGATACCAGAAGTAGGACCGCTCAGATGTATTTTCATATGATAAGGGATGGAGGAAAATTGCTTTACCTGAAGTAGGGGTCACGTGATGGAGAAATTAGAGCCTATGGAAACAGCCGTGGGGCTGTATAACACTCAGAAGAGTGGTGCTGAAAAATGATCTGTGCCGAGTTATGAAATCTACGCGTCATCCTGAAATCCCACCCCCGCAACGGCATTCATTCTGTCTCAAGTGCTAAATAAAAGACCTTTGATGGACAATGGAGACTCGAGGAGGGACTAAATAAAGAAAGAACAGCACAAACGGCTGCTAAGGAACAGTGTGGGGTGGAGCTCTAGCCACAGAAGCAAAAGATTGGAAAGCAGAAAACCCCCAAATCAATGTGTCTTTTCAAAATGTCTGTTTTTCAATACTAATTTCTCATGGTGCTAAGCCCAAAAAAGTACTTTAACATATAGGTTGGTCTTAATAGGAAATATTACCTCAATATTATGACACTTGAGACACTCAGCAGTCTGTGGGAAAAGCATCATTACCTCATGTCAGGTCATCCAGGGTGTCTGCCCCCCATCTAGTAAACGCCTCTCTCTTCCTCTTCCTCTTGCCACCTGCCTTTGTTGTGACAAGCCCCTCACATTGTCAGAACTCACCTAGGGGGCAGCACTGGTCTCCACATAATCCTCAGAGTGGCTTCATCCCTTGCTCTGGCATCTTCTGCGTCCCTAGAAACACTCCCTGGAGTGCTCCCTGACCGAGACCGAAGGCAACTACTGTGCTCAGATTGCCCAGATCCAGGCCCAGATCACGGCCCTGGAGGAGCAGCTGCACCAGGTCAGAACTGAGACCGAGGGCCAGAAGCTAGAGTATGAGCAGCTGCTGGACATCAAGGTCCACCTGGAAAAGGAAATCGAGACCTACTGCCGCCTGATAGATGGAGATGGAAAGTAAGTAACACCATCTGAAAATCCAGCTTTTACCTCTTCCAAACCACAACCAGAAGCTGCCCGTTAGCCTTCTGAACCTGCAGGCCTTTTCTTTTTCATTCCACTGCAGAAAAGCATGTCCATCTCCTGCCTCTGCAGTCACCTGCTCCGTGACTTGTACATCACAGGGGCATCATCATCTGCCTTGAATGACCCCAGCTGTCCTTGCAGAAGCCAGTGTTTGTTGTCCATGTTAATCCCCATGTTTCAGCATTCTCCCGGCCACACCCCCAGGCATTATCTAGCTTCCAATTCATGCCTAATATCATCTCTGTTTCTCTGAAACAAGCATACTCTTGAAAAACTCCCTGAAGCTTGACATTCTTGAGTTTTAAAAAAAATCAAACAGAAATAACATTGTTTTTGTTTTTTTTTATTTTAATTAATTTTATTTTTATATTCCCCATACAATTGCAACCCCCTTATTTTGACCCCAATCCCTCCCCTCCCGCCCTCTACCCACCATAGAGTGTCTCTGGTTCATAGTTTTTATACCCTCTCTTTAGATAACGTTTAATTATTTTCAGTTCCGGCACACAAATATTTTAACATTTCCTCTCTAGAGAATGAAGATCTGTTTCTGGCATATAAAGTTCACCTGAGTTCATGTTCATCTCTTGATTCAGTGATGGTTTCTTGTTCTTGCCTGATAAATAGAAGTAATAGAGACTAAACTGGACTTTATTTTTTTTTATTTTAGCAGCTCATGCTCCAAGGGCTTTGGGTCAGGAGGCTCAGGAAATTCATCTAAAGGTAATAAAATCGAGTTCTGTTTCTGTTGCAGCAAATACTTTCACATTAATGGCAATCAAATGTGATAGCAACAGGCTATATTTAAATAATCTTAACTAAAGTGCTCTGGACTTAAGGCATTATTCTATCTAAACCAACATACTTATGATATATTTGTGAGTAAACTATGCTTACTCACAAATACATAAAATGTTTAAAACAGCACAGGAATTCTTTGTCATGTAGTCTTTCAGGTTGAATATGTATATTCACTAATGTTTTGTTTCTAGAATTATCCAAAACCACACTGGTAAAGACAGTGGTTGAAGAAATAGATCAACGTGGCAAAGTTCTTTCCTCAAGGGTTCACTCCATTGAAGAGAAGACATCGAAAATGACCAACGGCAAGGCAGAACAGAGGGTTCCTTTCTAGCTATCATTTTTGAGAAAAGCACTTGGGGAAAGATCCCATGTGACTGCATAATTCTGAATAGCAGGGAAGATAATAAAAGTATTTCCTACCTTTACAAATAACTTTCTTACACATAACTTTTACAGGATGCTGGGTGTTTGTTTTCAAATAAATTTAAAAAATTGATGTGCACTCTTTTCCATTTACTTGTGACTAATAAATAATTATTTGTGATTCTTTTTTCCTATGTTAATTCATGGGAGACATTTGTGGGATATATTGTCTTTGCTTTTCACTCTAGTCTTAAACAGTAAGCAAAATCATATGACATTTAAATATCAAACATTCACCAAACATCATCTTCAATTCTCACCACTTTGGTGTGTGCAAATAAACTGGACAAGTTCAGAATTATCTCTTCAAATTGAAAGTTTCCACCACTAGATGGCACATTCCCAGTATTTTGCCTATGAGCCTACAAAGTCAAAAACTCTTCTGGAGACTTGGATCAATCCAGAATACCATTGCCTTCATGAACAGGATAATCTCTAGAAAGATCCAGAGAAATAAACCTCATGCTCATTACTTTTTTCCTAGAACAGAGATGGGCAAATCTTTTCTGGGAAGGGCCTTACAGACACTAAGGTCTCTTATTTCAACTGCTCAACTGAACAATTACAGCAGAAAGTAGCCATGCTACTTTGCCATACTACAGCAGAAAGTAGCCATAGACAATAGATCAACAAGTGAGCTTGGCTGTGTCTCAGTAAAACTTTACTTACGGCCACTGAAATTCAAATTTTTAATGATTCTAATGTGTCCTACAATATTTTTCTTCTTCTGATTTTATTCAACCACATAAAATGTGAAAACCATTCTTAGCACATGAGATATATGAAAACAGAGAGCAGACCAGATTTAACCCACCAACACTTGTTCTAAAACTTCAAATCTCATCAAATTGATGAGCATTATGTTTACTATGTATTTCTATGTTTCTGAATCAAAACAGACAGTGGGGATTTCAAACAAGCGTTAACTTCTCACTAAGAGAGCAGTGCTCATATTTCTCTCAAATATGACCTGATACTAATGATCAGATTAGATCAGATCTAATCTCCAGGGAAGTGAGAAATTCTACCTAATAACTCAGCAGTCTGGTGGGATTTCAAAGGATAGGCTATTTAAAAGACCTTGAACCAAGACTTATCAAATAAAGCAAATACTAGAAATTCATGAGGAAATAGCTTCCCAAATGTACAACATACAAGGCCAACTACATAGGTTACAAGACTCAATGAATATATACAGTTCTTTATTCAAACATCAGGGGGAAAGTATCATTAAAGCACTAAAATATGTTTTTTTTCCTGCCTTCTGCAGTCAAACTCTCAACTCATCATGGTTTTTTTTTTTTTTTAAAGATTTATCTTTATTTATTTATTTTATTTATTTATACAAGCACTGGGTACAGTCAGAAGCGCGGGAGGGCGAGAGAATTCACCAGAGTCAGAGCGGGGAGCAGAGCAGGCAGAAGGACCAAAGCACACTGCTGAGGGGAGCAGCGGGCGGCAGGAGAGGTCTGCGCGCCATGCGGGACCCTCCTCCAGTGGCCGGGAAGCAGCCGGGTATCGAACCGGCGCTGCAGAGGCTGCAGGCAGCTTCGCAACCCAGCACTCAACCGCTGCGCCACCGGGGAGGCCCTCAACTCATCATGGTTTTGTGTGTGTGTGTGTGTGTGTGTGTGTGTGTTGGGTGGCGGGGTGGGGGGGCTCTTGCCATTTAATGTCATTCTAAGTCAGTATAAATTAAAATAAATTATTGGTATAAATTTTCCCCTTCATTTTATATTGTACAATGCCAGGTTCAAATCCCAATATAAGAACATTTGACTTATGCAGAATCAGAAAATCACACAATTCATATTTTGTAGCTTATATGTGTGCGTATGTTGATCTTACCAAAACACTGGAAACACATCACCAAACACACTCAACTGTTCTCAGTTCATTTCTTTACATGGTCACATTCTACCAGTATGCTCCACCAAAGGAACTATGGATTGTCTTATCTTCCTACATTATTGTTTTCAGCAAAAGGAGCTGGCTGACATAGAAACATAACACAAGTAATTACATGATATTTCTTTGATCATTCATTGTCCTCTTTCTGCTTTCAAAGCAAGTTCCATTTGAGTGGAAAGCCTGGCATCTTGGGGCTGTCAGAGAACTGCTTGCTCAATCGTAGACATAGATACGTCCCTTGTACTCCCTGTGAGTCTCCCCAGACTCCTGCCAACCTGGGTCCACCAGAAAGCTGTGCACATGGACATTGCATGTGCTATACACAACTTAGGCAATAAAGGTGAACACAGACATTTCATATACTTCTCTGCCCATTCACATGCCCCATAGTCTTCACTTATAAGACCAAAGTTCAAAGATAAAAGTATCATAAATATCAAAATGGCAACAGGAGAGGATTAAACTAAATGTGTGAATCTTCTCCAATTTTGTGCCACAATGCCAGCCCTGCCTATGCCAGGAACTCATAACACACTGATTTTTTAAAATCTTGTCTTCATGATCTGCTTTCCATAGCTAGGACCACTATATACTATGAACACATATTGCATTTTGTGGCTGTGATAAGGGTGCTGTTGGTATGGAAAAATTTAAAAGGAAAAAAATAACTCTCATTCATCATTTCTTGCCAAAGAAATAAAACCTGCATATCTCTGTATCTACTTAGCCAAGGAATAAGTCTAAAATTAAATTCTGGATGCATTTCCCTCATTTCTGTTGCGTTCACAGGATGGAGGGAAATATTCCATCCTCAGACCTTAGCATCCCAAGTCTGTCCTTCCTACCTGGACGTCTGAGAACTGACAATCTCCTCTGGGATTTTCCTTTACTCAGCAGAATTATAGGGCTCCTGGGTTCTTAGGGAGTTTGGCTGAATGACTACATGTTCTTATCAATCCTTGAAAGCTCACATGCTTTTTGTTGGAATGGGAAGGTACTTCCAAGTAATCAGTTTCCATCTAAATGAAAGAATTCAGTTGCTATGCTCTGGTGGTTGTCAAAGCAGAAATCACATGTGGCTCCACTTTCTTTCTTTTAACAAACATCCAACATTTGTGGGAGCTCACTGCAATGGAAGAAAAGTACCGCTTGTGAAAGTGTGATGGAAATGTTGATATTGCTATTTTTCTTTCATTTTTTGTCATCATTAAGACACATAATTCAATATCATATTTATTTATTTATTATTTTAATTTTATATATTTTTACATCATTTTTCATTTTTGCACAATGTATGCATTTTCATCTTGGTTATAGTCCCTCCCCTTGCTTAAAATTTCATCATTAGGTTCTGAGTTTCAAATCTGCTGAAGCAAGTCTTTGTCACTCCAACATTATAAATAAAATTGTACATTTTCCTTTGGTCCTTTTGAAATGATCACATGATTTTTTTTTTATAAAACATTTCTAAGTAACTCCCTTGGAATATCATTTACTATTTGATATACTATTTAATTGTATTGGCTAAGATTTTATTTAAGATTGTATATTTCCAGAATGTCTTTTCTTTTAGGACTGATTTCCTCTGAACATCTCATTCTTGTGATTGTAATGTGCTTAGTGTAATGACTTTTTTATTTCACTTCTAATCTTTTCTAAGTCATATCCCCTAATTTCTAAATTTTCTATTTTTTGGCATTTTTTTTCCTGTTGTTTCAAATGCATTATGGGTCACTTTGAAATAGTAGGTTATGTCATAATCTGTTTTGTGGGCCTGACTTTCTGACATGCTTTCAATTTCTATAGGGATGTTATTCAGAAAATCATCTTATTTTAGTGTATTAAGATTCTGTGGGTCAAGTCCAAATCCTAATGTATGTGTTGTGCCCCAGACTTGGCAGGTTCACTGTTGATTCCAACAAACAGAAAAAGAATCTTCGAGGCTTAGGTATATACGATATGCCTTTAAGACTGAAGCAGGGGACTGGATACACAGACAGAACAGCAGGCAGGGAGGCAGGCAGGCAGCAACGGAGCCTCCTCATCCTGGACCCTAAGCTTGATCTTTTCTTCTTTATATTTCCCCTAGTAGCTTCCAGAAAAAGCGTGCAAGAGAGGTATATTTTTTGAGAATTTTCATGCTACTATTGCAGGTATAATGGAGAACAAAACAAACCTAGTCTCTCATGGGCTGGCCTGATCTGAGTGCACTCAGCTTCCTTTATGGTCTTTTCCCAGAGGGCTATTTTTTGCTGCTTTATCTCAGTCTCTGTCTTTATGTTGGAGTTATTTTTCAATATATGATATCTTTTGAAATTCTGTTTACCTTTAAGAGTAAAGCCTTTGTGGCCTCCCTAATGGCACAAGAGGTTAAGACGCAACCTATGAAGCTATCCACAGCCTCTGCGGCCAGGCCAGGGAGCTACGCACATGGTGCAGCAGATCTCTCCTGACTCGCCTGCTCCCCTCAGCAGTGTGTTTCAGTCAGTCTGCCAGTTCTGTTTCCCACTCTGTCTCTGGTGAATCCTCTCACCCCCGCACCTCTGGGCTGTACCCCAGCTCTTGTATGCATAAATAAATAAATCTTAAAAAAAAAAGAGTAAAGCCTTAAATATTTGGAGAATCCATGAATTTGTGTGTGTGTATTCACTTCAAGGTAGTTGTGTAGTGACCTTCTATTTGTGGAAAACATGCAAATATCCATAGCTGGAAGTCTTTTTTCTAGGATTCTTCAGCTTCCCTACTGAAGGTCCCAACAACCAAAGATAGCTACATGATTTTCAGGGCATAGTACAAGGTGGAAATGTGAGGCTCTGTGTTCAAAAGTCAGGAAAAAGTTCAGTTAGAAGTACTAAAACATATTTTTTTAATGTTATTACTTAAAAAACATAATAGAGGTCATAATGATGCATATATAATAATATAAACTTACAAATTTCAAAAAGTAATATTTGCAATGTCATCCTTTCATGCCACACAATATATAGTAATTTATTAAAGTGATTTCTTAATTGATCAACTGATCTTTCTGGCTTGCTTTTCTGCAAATTCACTTATTAGGTCAAGAAAATATATATTTTTAGCAACTTCATTTTCAATCTATATAATTGAAAGTGATGTCAGTAATTCTTGGCAAATTCAAGATCTCAAATAATCTCAAGTGGAGAGAACAATATGAAGAAAGACAAGGAGGGGCAGTAATATAAAAGAATGGATGGATTGGTAGGTAGTACCGATGTCAAGAATGACCTTAAATGTCAGGCAAAGAAGCTTCATCTAGTTGATAGTCAATGATTTTAAACTGGAGAGAGTAGAAAAGGGAAAAAATACTTACCAACTACCTATTATTGACAGATACGGTTGCTTTACATATTTAAATACCTCTTAACAGTCTTACAACCACACAAATAATTTCTCAATCCTAGAAATGAAAAACTAAGGCTTAGTTATGTGAATGATCAGTCACACAACTAGGAGGTGGCAAAACTGGGATACAAACACTGATACACCTGATTCAAGAGCCCAAGTTCTTTCAATTGCATGAATGGAATGGTACATCAGGGATGGTACTTCAGCACCTATCTGCCTACCAACTAGGACAAAAAGGAAAAAGACTTGAAACTAAGAATCCAATTAAGACTTCAATAATTGTCTAAAAAAATAGTAGTGATAAGAGAAATAGAAAAGAGAAAAAACCTTCAGGAGACACTGCAGAAATAGATTCAGTAGAACCTAGTGACTTATTAGATGCAGACTGATAGAAAATGAGAGCAATTCTCGTCTTCTTAGTAATCTTGAGCATGACTCAGGGTAATTCCACCCACCACTAATGAAAAAAGATGCAAAAGATCCTATTTTAATGACAAGGTGATTGAGTGTTGAGAAGTCAAGACAGAATACCAGAAATGTCTGGTGGGCATAGAATGGTGTGGGTTTAGAAAGGTGAAGAGGTCAGTGGTAAAGATGTAGATTTAGAAATCATTCACACAGAGCCACAGCAATAAGTAAGGACAAATCACAGAGTCTGTAGAAAACAGATGCATCAAGCCCAAAACTTTAAGGAATGAAAAAATGTAGAGAACATAAGCTACGGCATGGAGGAACAAAGAGAAGCAACCAGTGGTAGAAGCATCCTCAGAAAGCAATTGCTTAAAACTCACCAGTACTGGGATTATCAGTATCAAATGTATCTAAGGGAAGAGAGGAGAATAAATACAAGAGATGATGGTTGGATTGGAGATGTGGGGTAACAAACAACCTTTGAGAGATCAATTTCAGTAAAGTTACAGGACCAAAAATCAGCAGTAAGTAGGAAGTGAAAAGTGAAAGAAAAGAATGCAGCACATTTTTATAGAATAATGAAAGAAAGAAATGTAAAATGACAAGAAATATAGAAATGCAAAGAGAATATACGGGTCATAGTCTTAGTCCCTTCATTTTTACAATGAGAAAACTGAAGCCTGGAGTATCTCACCAACACCTCTATTTAACCTGGTTAGCAACAGAGTGTAGTGGAAAACCAATAAATACGAAATGGTAACTCAGGAGGGAGAGGAATCAAGGGAAGACTTTCTGTCCCCAAAGAATAGTCATTCCTCAATTTTCATTTTAGAACCTGGCGTCCTTCTTCTGATCCACAACCCCAAGATCTTTTTTTTTAAAGATTTATTTATTTATATAAGAACCAGGGTACAGGCCAGATGCACGGGAGGGTGAGAGGATTCACCAGACAGAGCGGGGAACAGAACAGGCAGACAGACTGAAATACACTGCTGAGGGGAGCAGTGGGTGAGGCAGGAGAGGTCTGCTGCGCCATGTGGTATTCCTGCCAGCCAGCCAGGCTCGAACCGCACTGCAGAAGCTGCGGACAGCTTCACAGTGCGGCGCTCAACCGCCTGGGCCACTGGAGAGACCCACGACCCCAAGATCTTGACCTTTTCAACATCTCTGAAAGAAACCTCACACAATTCATAGAAAACCATGAATATGATGTTTCACCTCTGCCAAAAATGCAATGCTATTGATTTGAGCAAGGGAAAGAGAAATATGTCAATCAACTTTTATATTCTTATAGGAATTTCATGGTCCCAAAGGCTGGAGGGCAGGAAGGATTAGTCACACTAAATTTGAAATGCATCACTATAATAACCCTGATAATACTCCTCCCTGACCCATTTTGGAGATAACAAATAACCCCAAGGTAACTCTCCACCTACAGAAGTGGACATAGTAGGGTAAAGACATTCATTAAAAAAAAAAAAATCACCCAATTATGAATAATTCATGATGAGCTGGCAAATACTCTTTTGCTATGGGTAGCAAAGCTCATCAAGAAACACCCCAATAATGTGTATATAAAGACAAACTGAACTCTTGGAGTAGGACACTCGCCATCGGAGCTCCACTCCAAGAATAAACGCTCCCGTCTGGCCACCATGTCTGTGCGCTTTTCTTCCACATCCCGGCGCCTTGGCTCCTGTGCCGGAGCAGGCTCCACGCGGCTCTCTAGTGGGGGAACAGGCTTTGGGGCTGGAAACGCCTGCGGTGCGCCGGGCATCGGAGGGGGCTTCTCTTGTGCCTTTGGGGGAAGCTCAGCTGCAGGAGGCTATGGCGGGGGGCTGGTCGGAGGGAGCACCCCCTGTGCCGCCTACACAGGGAATGAACACGGACTCCTGTCCGGCAACGAGAAAGTGACCATGCAGAACCTCAATGACCGCCTGGCCTCCTACCTGGACAACGTGCGCGCCCTGGAGGAGGCCAATGCCGACCTGGAGCAGAAGATCAAGGGCTGGTATGAGAAATTTGGGCCTGGCTCCTGCCGCGGTCTCGATCATGATTACAGCAGATACTTCCCAATCATTGATGACCTGAAGAGCCAGGTAAGAAACGCAGTATCGCGAGGTAAACACCCCACCTGCTACCCAGGTCCATATACATACATAACATATATCACAGTGGGGCTCTGCTCTCAGCTTCTAACATTGGTAGTTCATTACTAATATTTTTTTAAAGATTTATTTTTTATTTACACAATAGCTGGGGTACAGGCCAGAGGCGGGGAAGGATTCACCAGAGACAGAGCAGGTAACAGAACAGGCAGACAGACTGAAAGCACTGCTGAGGGGAGCAGCAGGCGAGGCAGGAGAGGTCTCCCGTGCCATGTGGGTATCTCCATGGCCAGCCGGGAATTGAACCCTTGCTGCAGAGGCTGCAGACAGCTTCGCAGCGCTGTGTTCAACACGCTGCTCCATCGCGGAGGCCCATCATTACTAACATTAAAAAATCTTTATATTAAAATGTAAGCTTAGAACATGGTCTGCCCATCATGTGGTATTAAGTATGCATGTTTATGCATTTAGAAGATTAAAATAGCAAAAATTGCTCGATGTCTTTAGGTCTATATTTACAAGCTCTTCCATAGAAAGGGTTGGTTTGCTTTTAATGAGCGGGATAGAGGGTAAAGGAGGTCATACTTGAATTTCCTATTTTCAAAAGAATCAACTTCTTGTTGGCAACAGAACGACAGAAATACTATTATAATTTCATAAGTGACTATTTTAAGGAATTTTTTAAATTAGCATTTCTACTCTTACCTGACTCTCCACTTATCAGATCATTTCTGCAACTACAAGTAATGCCAACGTGGTCCTACAAAATGACAACGCAAGACTCACAGCTGATGACTTTAGGCTCAAGTAAGTAGATGTAGAAGGAAAAACAGGAAAAGTTTATCTGAGCATTTGCTTCATTTTTTAGATTAAAGGTTGGTTCCATGCTTTGTTTTTTGTTTTTTTGTTTTTTTAGTTTGTTTTAAACCAAATGTATACTAGAATGACTAACACACTGTACTTGGAAAATTGGACAGGGACGGTGACACACATGCACGTCAGGCTCATGGGAAGGGCGTTTTGAATATTCCCATTCTCTTGTTTCTAAGAAATGTGTTTATTGCATTGTGGGTCATCTAACTAAAGTTATAGAGGATATTTTAGTCATCTGACCTCAAAGCTGACGTGGATTTTTATGAAGACCTAGAAAAGCGATGTGATTAGGGAGTTGAAACGTTCCAATATTTGTCTAAGGTATGAAAACGAGCTGGCCCTCCACCAGAGCGTGGAGACGGACATCGGCAGCCTGCGCCGGGTGCTGGAGGAGCTGACTCTGTGCCGAGCCGACCTGCAGATCCAGCTGGAAACCATGAGCGAGGAGCTCACTTACCTCAAGAAGAACCACGAGGAGGTACACACCCCATGGCCCCAGCTCTCACCACCTGTCTTCCTCCCCAACTTTAACACGAATTTCAGATGAGAAATAGGACATCTTCAATCCATTTCGAGAAGGAACTTGCTTGCTTTGTTCTGGGTGGCTTGGGATGATTCTATTCATTCCCCTCAAACGAAACCAAGCCTTTAAAAAAGTATCTAACAGTATGGATGTTGTCAGTCAGGTGCCTTTAAAAATGTTCAGCTCCTACAATAGTGAAACTGCATTTCAGGAGATGAAGGCGCTGCAGTGCGCGGCGGGTGGCAACGTGAACGTGGAGATGAACGCAGCGCCCAGTGTGGACCTCACGGTGCTGCTCAACAACATGCGGGCCGAGTACGAAGACCTGGCAGAGCAGAACCGCAGGGACGCCGAGGCCTGGTTCAACGAGAAGGCGAGTCTTGCCACAAACAGCCCCGCAGCGCTGGGGGGTGCTCACAAAGCTAAGGTTTGCCTTTTGCCTCTCCCCAGAGCGCCTCTCTGCAGCAGCAGATCTCCGACGATGCTGGAGCCATCACCTCGGCTCAGAACGAATTCACTGAGATGAAGCGTAATCTTCAAACCCTGGAGATTGAACTTCAGTCCCTCTTAGCTATGGCAAGTAAAAATTACCAAAAACAGAATTGGTTGACCATATTCAGATCAAAAGTTGGGGGAGAGGGGAGTTTTAAAGAGGGTTTTCTTCAGCTCTTCTTTTTTATCCATTCATGACTATGCTTGAAATAAGACACATTTGCATTTTGCACAGTAGACACCACCTTGGCTGAAAATTATGCCACGTCGCTAATAATTGTGATACATTAGAAACTAGCAAATACGATTATTTTGAGGTGTGTGGAACAGAAAATTTTTTTGCCCTGACTCTTTTCTTCCCAATCAAAAGGTCCAAAACTACTGTCCATGGAGTGAAAAAATATGTTTGCACCCCTTCCTAACTTCTTTGGCTGGGACTCCTTTCTGGGCACTTTAGAGTACTTACAAGTTCCTTTTTAAGTGGCACAAACAAGAAGCAAAGTGGAAGCATGAAGGTTACCTATAAAGCTAAACATTTGATGATGATAATAATAACCCTTCTCATTAAGGGTTTTCCCAGCACTTTCACCCACATGAATCCACAATAACCCTGGGGCATGAGCCAGGTAGACTTTATAACTCATGTCATTATCTACAAAAGAAGAATCAAGATTCAAAGAAGTTTAAGCATTTTTCCCAGAGTCCCACAGTTGTATACAAGGAATCCAGAATGTCTCTCCAAATTTTCTAACCCCCAAGTCTACACTTTTTCCACTAAGGCTAGTAAGCTTCCAGAGTATAGCCACCCAAGAGGCTATGAATGTTTATACAATTAAAACTTTTACTTAAGAAAGAAATTTTAATTCATTTTAAAAAATATTCTTGCAGATAAAAGGGTAAGACTCATCTCCATTCCATGTAAAATTTCAACAGTGTCCCTCAGTGTGATAAACACTGTGTAAATCCATTTGGATTTGCAAACCAATGAATCAAATTATTAAAGCCCTAAAAAGGTCATTCTTTTCTTTGGGTCATTCTGTGGGAAAGTGTATGCAGTTTACTATAAGATTTTAATAGAGCAACAATCCTCATGAGACAAGGTTGTTGCATGATTAGAAGTGACATGGCATCGTGTGGGGGGTTAGCAGGGGTATCCTGGGGAGTGGGAAACTGTACCAGACTCTGCAAGCACAGACGGTGTTGGTGGTGGGAGGGATCTTTAGACTGTCCCCTATGAAGAAACAACTTCTTCTTTTGAACACTCCTGGGCATAACATTCACCACCAATTATTCATTCTCAAACAGAACAATAGGACATCTAATATGACATCTAATAAAGGCAACAATTAACAGCAAACAAGTAGAATCTTTTGAGTGAATATGGCTATTTGCATGATGTAAGGATAACTCAAATGTTTTTTAAGTGTTTTACCTTATTCTAAAACAACACGGTGACATTTTCTACAAACCACAGAAACATTCCCTGGAGTGCTCCCTGACCGAGACCGAAGGCAACTACTGTGCTCAGCTCGCCCAGATCCAGGCCCAGATCACGGCCCTGGAGGAGCAGCTGCACCAGGTCAGAACCGAGACCGAGGGCCAGAAGCTGGAGTATGAACAGCTGCTGGACATCAAGGTCCACCTGGAAAAGGAAATCGAGACCTACTGCCGCCTGATAGATGGAGAGGATGGGTAAGCACAGCTTCCATTGAGAAAACTATCTTAAGGTTCTTAAAGGTTTTTTTTTAATCATATACATTTTTTTTCTCGTTCCTTCAACCACAGAGTTAAAGTGTTACCTTGAAATCTTTATTATTTTTTTTTTAGTGTAGGCCTGTGTTGCTATAAACTTCCCCAGTGGTATTGCTTTTAAAGCATCCCATAGGATCTGGCAACTTATCTCTCCATTTTCATTTGTATCTAAATATTTTGTGATCTCTTCTTTGATTTCTTCTTTGACTCAAAAGTTTTTCAGAAGCATTTTGTTTAGTCTCCGCATGTTTTGGTTTGTTCCAGAATTCCTTTCATGGTTAATTTCTAGCATGATAGCACTATGGTCTGTGAAGATGCTTGACATAATTTCTGTTTTCCTATATTTTCTGAGACTTGTTTTATCTCTAGTTAGTATGTGATCTATTCTTGAGAAGGTTCCATGTGCACTGGAGAAGAAAGTATGTTCATTACTTTTAGGATTCAGTAAGAAATCACATAAAATTATCTTTGATCTAAACCATATGTCCATAACCACTGTCTAGTATTACCTAAGAATTCAATGAACTCCCATCTTAAATCATTGTTTTTCAGTTTCCTCAGCAAAACACAGAGTGATATAATTAATTCAAGCTCTCTATATTTTTGCAGCTCTTGTTTCAAATCAAAAGGCTATGGAGGGCTAGGAAATCAGATAAAAGGTAAACAACAGCTGTGTTGAGTATTCTGTATTTGTATGTTTCAAATGAGGAGTTCATTATTTGCCTTTCATGACTTTAATCAATTCTAACAGTTCATATGTGTTATTTTAGATTCACCTAGAACCACCATGGTTAAAACAATTGTTGAAGAAATAGATCCTCGTGGCAAAGTTCTCTCCTCCAGAGTTCACACTATGGAAGAGAAATCCATCAAAATGAACACCATGAACAGTGAGCAGAGGGTGCCTTCCTGAACCCACAAAGAAGGTCCCTGGATTAAAGTACTAAATTGAACTTGATCTTTTAATGAAGGCCCTCTTATCTTTTCTGTTTTTCTTCTAATGAATTAAGACCAACTACTTCTAGAATAGTAACATTCTCTGGTTTTCTCTACAGTGGTGTTTTAATAAAGATTCTTCCTGTTGCAAGTCATCTTCACTGGTTCTGGTTGTCAATTTTTTGCATTTTAAATATACTCCCCAAAGGGAGGTGAATTTTGTTTTTAATTTTTCCTACTTAGTTCAGTGGTCTTCACAAGTTAGGTGTAAGTTTAATAGCCAAATTAGTAACCAGTTTCACATCTCTATAAAATTTTAAATCTTCCTTCCTTCAATAATACTTTTGAGCACACATTAAGTGTTAGTGATGAGAATGAAACAGTAAAATTTAGTCTCTAAGTGCAGTACACTCATAGAGTAGAAATAAAGAATTGAAGAATCAGAAACATCCTAAAAAGAAAGAAAGAAAGAAAAATCCCATAAATGGTAGTATTTGAAGGTTAAGGGAAAAGAGAGAGATGTGGACTAGATGACTAGATAGAGTGGTGGGAAATTCAACAATATTAGGCCACAAAACAAATTTAAGAAAACTGAAATCATATCAAATATTATTTTCTGACCACAATGGTATGAAACTAGAAATGAATCACAGAACGAAAATTGAAAAACTATGTAGTAATTAAGCAACACACTTCTGAACACCCAATGAATCACAGAAGAAATCAAAAGGTAAATCAAAATGATCTTGAATCAAATGAAAATAGAATAATTCTAAATGTATGGGGTACAACAAACACTAAGGGAGAACTTTATTGTTGTAACCGTGGACATTAAGAAGAGAAATTCCAGGGCCTCCCTCGTGACTAGGGGTTAAGTCTCAGCGCTATCAGAGACTGCCTGAGTTCAATCCCCAACCAGAGAGCTAATCCACATGGCACAGCAGACCTCTCCTATCTCACCCGCGGCTCCCCTCAGCAGTGTATCTTGGTAGATCTGCCTGTTCTGCTCCCCACACTGTCTTTGGTGAATCCTCTCACCCTCTACCCCCCACACCTCTGGCCTACAGCCCAGCTCTTCTATGCCTAAGAATAAAAAAAAGAAGAGAGATTCCAAATAAGTAACCTAACTTTACACTTCAAAGTACTAGAAAATTAAAAGCAAACTAAGTCCAATGTTAGCAGAAGAAAGGAAATAATAAAGATAAGGACAGAAGTAAACAGGCACTAGGAAAATCTTAAAGAAGATCAACAAAACAGTTGATTTTGGGGGGAAAAAAACATAAAATTGACAAATCCTTGGCCAGACTAACCAGGAAAAAAAAAAATAACAAGAACTCAAATAAATAAAGTTATAGGGTGAAAGAGGAGATGTTACAACTGATGCCAGAACTACAAAGGATGGTAGATGATACTAGAATATTTATATGTCAACATATTTGAGAAACTAGAAAAAATGGCTTATTTTCTAAAAACATGTAGCCTACTGAGACTGAATCCCGAAGAAATAAAAAATCTGAACAGACCAATAATGAGTGAGGAGATTTAATCAGTAATCAAAAACTACTCAACAAAGAAAAGCCCAGGACCAGGTAGTTTCTCTGGTGAATTCTACTACTTAAAGTAATGCCATTCTTTCTCAAACTACAAAAAATATATATCTATATGAATAAGAGGGAACATTCTCAAATTCATTTTAGAAGGCCATCATTATTCTGCTATCAAAGCCACAGACATTTCAAGAAAAGAAAATTACAGACCAATATACAGAGATGCAAAAATTGTAACAAAATTCTAGCAAATCAAATTCAATGACACTTTTTTTAAAAGCATCATACCCCATGATGAAATGGGATTTATTCCTGGGGTGCAAGAATGATTTGACATACACAAATCAACAGATGTGATACACCACATTAACAGAAGGAAGGATTAAAATAATCATTATCTCAATAGATGCAGAAAAACATAAGATACAATTTAATACCCTTTCATGTTAAAAATGCTTGACAAACTCAGTATAGAAGGAATGGACCTCAACACAAAAATACCATACATGACAATCCCACAGTTAATATGCAGGTGGTAAAAGTCCAAAAATTATCTTCTATCTCAGGAACAAGAAGAGAATGTCCACTCTTGCTACTTTTATTCAGTGTTATACTGGAAGTCCTAGTCAGAACAACTACACAACAAAAAGAAACTAAAGAAACAAATAAAAAAAATTATTTTACAGAAGACATCTTACATATAAAAAACCCTAATGATATCACACAAAAAAAACATTAGAACTAATCAACAAATTCAGCAAGGCTGCAGGATATGAAGTTAACATTAAAAAATTAATTGGAGTTCTATACACTGATAATAAATTATTCAAAAGGGAAATTAAAAAATCAATTCCATTTACAATAGCATCGGAAAGAATAAAATATTTAGGAGTAAATTTAACCAAGAAGGTGAGAGACTGGATATCCACAACTGAAAAAAAGAAATAGGACCCTATAGTATACACAAAAATCAATTTAAAATGGATTAAAGATCTAGACATAAGACATAAAACTCCTCAAAAAAAACACAGGGCAAAGCTTCACTGCATTGGTCTTGGCAATGATTTCTTGCATTTGACACTAAACGCAACAGATCACAAATACAAAAATATACCCAGGACTTGTCACATAATTTCCAGGAAAGAATCAATAACAGTGATAACCAGCACTTACCATGTGGCAGATTCTATTCTCAGCATCATTTAATCCTCACAATAATCCTACGAGGTAGGTACTACTATCATTCTTTTTTTATAGATAAGGATATCAAGGCAGAGAGTGGTTGAGTAATTTGTTGGAGGTCACACAACTAATAATTAGAGTTGCGGGAGTGCTAACCCAGGCAGTCAGGCACCCTGTCCGTTTAATAACAACCTAATACCATGCTCATGTTTCTACCTTCCTGACAGCGAGAGAAGGAATTAAAAAAAAAAAACACCTAAATGCTATACATTCTAACTCCAGTCAGTCTCAGATTAAAAGAATATTCAGTCTTCTTCCCAACCAAACCAGGGAAGTCATTTTGCAGAAGGAATTAGCACAACGGAACTTGAGTCTCACAAAAAAAAGTAGGAATCTAGGAACAAAACAAACTTCATTCATGTTCAAGGAAAACATTTTCTAAAGTTGGCTAACAAAAATACAGAATGTGCATTTTAAACAACAGCAAAAGATATCCAAGCACATGTGAAATAATCTCTACATTTATGAGGGAAAAAATAATGTAAGATCATTACAACAAGATAGCATAATGAAAAACAATCCTGAGACAAGCAGACTGTATTCCCACTTAGAATTTAATTCAATTCAATTGTTTTGAGTACCTACAACAAGCTCATTATGTAATGGATGTTGTATTATCTCATAGATTCTCAAGAAATGATAATATATGTGGTTTCTCACCATGAATAAAACATCATTCTCAGGGAAGAAAAATATAGATAGACATGGTCTAGAGGGTCTAGAGGGATTCTGTTATCCTCAACTTTCAGCCAGCACAAAGGCATACCTTAACTTTTTTAGTAAGTATTGGTTTAGAGGAAATCTGTGATTAAGAAAATTCAAAAGCTGTGTCCTCCTAAGTAGTCAACACTGTTTCGAGAAGGAGCTAAGTATCCAAGTCCTGCTGTGATATAAAAATGCTTTGTGATCTGTGTTACCACTTATATCAGAGCAAACTCATCTCCAAAATGGCTCTAATAATATATGCTAAACTTATTTCACAAAAGATTATAAGGTAATTAGTATTTATAAAACATCTAGAGATAGGCAGATAATCTTAATAATACTTTACCACCTCATAATGTATCTTACCCAAGAAACTGAAGACTCTTACATGCTAACAACATGTTACATGCTAACAACAACTGTTTTTCTTGATTAATTCATGGGAAACATCAACAAAAGATGACATGTTGACCAGGTCACACAAAACCATTAACAAGTCTCTGAACAGGAGCTGACTCTTTAAACTTAGGACACATTGTTCTAAGCATGAGTCAATGGTCTGAATTACAGTTTTGTATTAATCATCTTAAAATATTTTTGTCCAAAAATTCCTGCATTCTGGGCCAACAGATAGTTCATATCTTTTAAAGGGAACAATAATATTGGATGGGTTTTAAAGTGTTCAATACCCACAACACTGGGAAATCTCAGTGAGAAAAAAATTATTCTTTCAAAGCTATCTAGACCCATATCAGTTAATCAATCAATTTGTACCATTATAAATGATAGAGACTGACCCTGTCTGACACTTCCATTTTATTATAATAATTTAAATAATTAACATTTACAATATGTTTGTGCCCTTCAGACTGTTTTATAGTCATTCATTATTGGCTTAACATTCATATGAGTCTGTTCACCATGATTATTTTCATTTACCCAGCAGGGAAATAAGGCACCATCAGACAGGATAACTTCCCTTTGGCATCAAGGCAATGAATGAAAAGTATTTACCTGTGACAACTAATCTCCTATTCAGAGTACCATAATTATAGGTTTTCTAGGTAGTGATGAAAACCCTCTTCTTAATAGATCTCTTACTCCCCATTCATCAATATGAAGCTCACTTCTCAAAATAATTCATAATACCTTAAAAATAAAGTGAAGCTACAAGGCAATAACGAGTATTTTTTAGGTAGATAAAAGAAGGAACTGGAGACTTAGAAGTTAGTTGAATGGACATTTTGTTCCTAAACCATGAAATCTCAATGGAAATAATTTTCAGTGCTATATATTCATTCACTTTACCCAAATTGATAAGCAAAGCACTGTAGACTACTATTATTCAATTTTCAATTAAGACAATTAAAGAACTCCCACTACCAAAAGATTGCTATGTATTGAGTATCTGATTTTAATGAGAAATAAACAGTCTCTAAAACACGACTAATAAAAACACCCCCATACGCACTTGCAGTACAAAGGCAGTGGACATTTCTCCTTAGAATTACTAATCACAAATTCTTTGATAGGTGAGGGGGAAGGAGAGGTCAAAAAGATGTACATTTACTCATACTTAATTTTGACCTTCCAAACTATGATTTAGTTTCAGGCCACCTGGCACCCTTTTCATATCCAAAGATATCCGTGGGCAGCTTTCCACCTTCAGACTGGACAGTAGTAAAAATCACCCAATTATGAAAAACAACAATTAAGACGCTAGTAATATTTTATTACAGATCATCCTAATTAAGACCAGAATGACCTAGTGAATCCTATAAAAGGCCAATGGAGCAGATTCCCTGGATGGTGTGCTTTGGTCCGCTCAGTTCTCTGAGAAAGGTCACTCCACGGTGCTCTGGACATGTCTTTCCGACTTTCTAGCGGGTGCAGGCGGGCGAGCTCACGCGCTAGTCCTGGCCGGCTGCCTGGTGGAGGAACAGGCATCACCGCTGGGAATGGATGCAGTGGGTCGGGCGCAGGCGGTAGCTTTCCCGGTAGTCTGGCAAGCCTTTCATCTGGAACGGGTTTCTGTAATAGCGGTGGAGGCTTGGGAAGTGGCACCTGCGTTGGTTTCCTTGGAAATGAACACGGCCTGCTCTCCGGGAATGAGAAGATGACCATGCAGAACCTCAACGACCGCCTGGCGTCCTACCTGGACCACGTGCGCACTCTGGAAGAAGCAAACGCCGATCTTGAGCAGAAAATCAAGGGTTGGTATGAGAAATACGGACCTGGTTCTTCCCGAGGAGTCGATCATGATTATAGTAGATATTTTTCAGTCATTGAAGATCTTAAAAGCCAGGTAAGAAATATGGATGTTCATACTTTTTAAAATAATTGATTCTTTTCATTGTAGTAACAGTGGGTTTTCCCCATCCGGCAGCACCACCCTAGGGTCGGGGCCACCAGATCACCCTAGTCCACCACCAGAGTCTATGGTGCTCTCTTCCCTCTTTGTTCATGCCCTCCCCGGTCCCTCCCCACTTTGGGTGCTTCAGTTCTATGCTTTTTGCTACAGACTTAGAGTGGGCCAAACCTGAAAACATAAAATGTGCTCAGCAAACTTACACGATCTAGAACTTGCTCACTCTATATCCCCACTGCTCAGGGCAGCGCTTGGCAAACAAATTTACATTATTAATGAATGAAAGGGGAATTGTCTCAAAATAGATATTGCTTTGTTGATCTCCTATTTAGCTCATACTGTTTGATCAAGAGTAATCAAAGTATCCATGACTGTGAAATTGTCTACTTTGGCTCTTAATTGCCGGTCATTTATTATCTGAAAAAAACCCAGATGCCTTTACTATTATAAATAATGCTTAAATGGGCCTCCCCAGTGGCGCAGCGGTTGAGCGCTGGATTGCGAAGCTGTCCTCAGCCTCTGCAGCACTGGTTTGATTCCTGGCTGCTCCCCGGCCACCGAAGGAGGGTCCCACATGGTGCGCAGACCTCTCCTGCCGCCAGCTGCTCCCCTCAGCAGTGTACTTCGGTCCTTCTGCCTGCTCTGCTCCTCAATCTGGCTCTGGTGAATTACCTCCCGCACTTCTGACTGTACCCAGTGCTTGTATAAATAAATAAATAAATAAATCTTTTTTTAAAAATAATAATAATGCTAAAATAAATGTTTGGTTGGTTAAGAATATGAGAATCATACTTAAATCCTGACTTTTGGTACTTAACATTTTGCACAATCTACCCTGTTTAGATTATTTCTATGACTGCCTGTAATGCCAGCATTGTTCTACAGAACGACAATGCCAGACTGACAGCTGATGACTTCAGGCTGAAGTAGGTGAAAATAAAGTAATGAATCACAGTAAAGGTAAAAATGCTGCAGTAAAGAACATAGCCTTTGCTTTAAAAACCAACATGTTTTTACAAAGTCAGACTAGATCACTGAAGAAGTTAAATATGCCCTTCTGGAAAGAGCTATCATAATATTTAAACACTATTCTTACTCAACTGCTAAGCATGTTAGATGACAAAAATCAACTCTGAAAAAACAACCTCTCCAAGATAATTAATATTCATGAATCAGCAAGTACCCATGAGTTGAGTTGCCATTGCTTTACTGTTGCAAGAAGCTTTAGAAGCGTGTACATCCCCTCCATCAGTATAGGAAATGTCTGGAAAAGTTGTGCTCTGTTCTCACCTCCAGTTACAGCTCTCAAGCATCTGAATTACCTTCCAGGTATGAAAATGAGCTTGCCCTGCACCAGAGCGTGGAAGTTGACATTAACAGTCTTCACAGACTGTTGGAGGAGCTGTCCCTCTGCAACACCGACCTGGAGATACAATCGGAAACCCTCAGCGAGGAATTGATGTCCCTCAAAAGCAATCACCAGGAGGTAAGGAGCCAAGTGGGGGGGGGGATCCACACAGTGACTGATTTCCTTCCCCAAGCCCACTGCTCAGAGAAGAGTGAACAGCAATCACAGCTCTCCCTTGAATATGAACACGGATCCCCTTTCCAGGAAATGCAAGTCCTGCAGTGCGCAGCCGGGGGGAACGTCAATGTGGAGGTGAATGCTGCCCCAGGAGTGGACCTCACTGCCCTGTTGAACAACATGAGGGCTGAGTATGAGCATCTGGCCGAGCAGAACCGCAGAGACGCCGAGGCCTGGTTTAACGAGAAGGTAGGGATCTGGCCCTTCACACGCCAACAGTGTATACAGTTGTCCTCAGCGGGTTACTGACTCTTCTGACAATTATGCTCCAGAGTGCTTCACTGCAGCAGCAGATCTCTGACGATGAGGGGGCAGTCGCCGCAGCCAGAAGTGAACTGATGGAACTGAAACGCAACCTACAAACCTCGGAAATCGAACTTCAGTCTGTTACTGCCGTGGTGCGTAGGAATCACCTTTGATTTGACTATGCATGTGTGTCCATAACTAAACTAAAAATATAACTACATATAAATAGATTAAATGTCAAGCATCTTGTCCATCAGCACTACTTCTGACTCATCAACTCCCAAAACTTAAAACTTTTTCCAGTGGAGAAAAAAACATTTTTTTAAACTTCGCTAATGCAGATTTTTCAATCGAAAAGATTCAGGCCACAAAGATTCTTTCCACCCTAAGAATGTTTAAAATATGAAGATGTCATGGATCTTTTACACATGTGAGCCTTACTTTGTTCTTTCAGAAACATTCCTATGAATGTTCCTTGGATGAGACCAAAAGCAATTATTGCCTTCAGCTTCAGCAAATCCAGGATCAGATTGGAGCGATGGAGGACCAACTGCAGCAGATCCGAACAGAAACAGAAGGCCAGAAGCTGGAGCACCAGCAGCTTCTTGACATCAAAATATTCTTAGAAAAGGAAATTGAAACTTACTGCAAATTAATAGATGGAGAAGAAAGGTAAATATTAACTCATGAAAAGATTAATGTTACACCAAGTAGGTTTACTCAGTATGCATGTGAGCCAACTGGTCTTTTAGGACTTCCTACCAGAAAAACCATATCCATTCTTGAGCTCAGGAATTTATTATAGCCTCCAAGTGAAATGAAAAGACACAAAATCAAATTTCAAAGTATGTAGTGTAATTGCATCTATAATAGCATAGAGAACACTTAAATGCAGAATGTTGAACAATTCCTGTTCTCCAGTCTAGGGAAAGAGTTGCTACCTGTGATTTCATGGTGAAGCACATTTCTCATAATAACACACACCTATTTTATTATTACGTCATTAGTTGTCCCACATGCACCCTGTGTTAAGTGGGTTGTTACATTTCCATTTGAAAGATGAGCAATGAAGATACAGGAAGACTTAATTGGAGAAGCACCATAGTTTGTTAGCCAAGAGCAACAGCTATGGAGGTGAAGCCCCGGCTGCCAATCACACCACTGGGTAAATTTCAGCAAAGTGTTTAGCCTCTTTAAACTCCTTATTGGGGTCCCCTTATTGATAAGATTGCAGTAACACCAAAACCACACTCTCGCCATCATGCCTCGCTGTGTGGGTAAAGTGCTCAGGACAGGGACTTACACACAAAATACACTTGGGGATCAGAGACTAATATGGAATGCTTGTTCAAGGTCATGCCATGAGTCAGTAACATGCTCCAGGGCCAACATCAGTCCTCCATAGCCTATTCTCAAAAGAGCCCAAAGGTGATTGCTCCCTCCTTCAAGCAGAGTGCTGTGACAGCACTCATTTTCCACTTCTCTTACAGTAACCTTCATGCCATGATATAAATAACTTCTTGCATGCATATACTTTATGGCCAACCATGTAAATTGCTTGTATCTGCACTCTATGTAATTTGTACAGGACTAGCCCCATGCCATCTACGTGATGGGCACTCCAGGCATATTCACTGGCCAGAAAATGGACTGAAAAGTCAGCATAAGAACCTGGAGTCCCTGGATAACCAGATGAAAGAGATCATGTCTGGGCACGAGGGAGACTCTGATGGTGAACATCACTGAATCTCCTCTTTCTCTAGATTAAAGACATGAAAAGCTTACTAAGGTCTCTTTAACAAAAGAGGAATTGAATCTTATGGAAACTACAAAACTTTTATTATCAACTTAGAGTAATTGATGAGCTCCCTAATGAAAGATTTTTTTTAAAAAATCATAATTTACCCTTCTCTTCACAGAAAAGGTAAATCTACATTCTACAAATCAAAAGGACGTGGGCCTATAAGTTCTGAAAATCAAGTCACAGGTATGGAAGATTTTTTAGTGGGTGTAACTCTTTTAAAGTCCAGCACTTGTATTAAATAAGTCACTTATTTGTAAACAAAATTAAATTGTCTCTAAATAAAGTTTCAGGACAAGTGGGTATTTAAAAGAAAACAATATTACTTGCTCCAGGCTATACTTGCCTGATAGTTATGTAGTTTTAATGTGTTTTATTTATACTTTCAAACATGCGTGGCTTGAAAAAGTGGGAAATAGAAGAAAGGTTGACCAGCACCTTGCTAAGCAGATGTCAAAGACACTATGGTATTTCATTTTACTGCCAACTTGCAAACACCATCTTTTCAAGATGGTCTTTTCAGCTTAAGAATGAGTCCTAGGGCCTCCCCTGGTGGCGCAGCGGTTGAGCGCTGGGCTGCGAAGCTGCCCGCAGCCTCTGCAGCGCCAGTTCAATCCCCAGCCACCGTGAGGGTCCCACATGGCATGACAGACCCCCCTGCCGCGCCCGCTGCTCCCCTCAGCAGTGTATTTCGTCGGTCTGCCTGTTCTGTCCCCCACTCTGGCTGTGGTGAATTCTCTCACCCTCCTGTGCTTCTGACTATACCCAGTGCTTGTACAAAAAAAAAAAAAAAAAAGAATCCTAAACTTCTTTTCCTTTTATTTTAGACTCAACAGAAGAAATCCTTGTCAAAACAGTGGTTGAAGAACTAGATCAACTTGGCAATGTCCTTTCACTGAGGGTCCACTCTGTTGAAGAAAAATCCTCCAAAATAAGCAACATCACAATGGAGCAAAGAGTGCCTTCTAAAGCACCACACTGAGATTATTTCCCAAAAAACAGTCTGCCTTTTCAAATCCCATGGGTCAAAATTACCCAAAGAAATCATTCATTTCTGTTCTTCAAAATATAAGGGATAGAATTTGTTTTCCTTCTCTTCCTTTGCTCATGTTCTTTGCATATTATCTTTCTCAGAAGTAAGACACTCTTTTCTCTCTCAAGTTTTTGTATTTTGGGGTCCTTTTTTTGCCACTTCATTAAAATTTTTTCTGTTGCAAGTTATTTTGGATAAATGAGCTTTTGAATTTCCACAGTTGATCTTTGTGGGACAGTCCTGGGAAGATGGTAAAAAAAATTAAGTGCTTCACTACACAGTCAATGTACTTCAATTAATTATAGGCTAAATTGGAAAAAACATTGGTCCTAATCTCTGGTCCCAAACATGTCTCTGATTAACTCTGCAAATGACTAGATCTCTTTGGGACTGGCCTTCTATGGATACAAAAGAAAATTATACCTGTTGATCACCAGGAAAAGAAAATTATACCTGTTGATCACCCTTTTAAAGGCTAGCTGGCGTGGGTGATCAACTAATGTTAGGTTGTTGAATCTGAATCCGGATAGCTATCTTTCCATTTGCAATACACACATCTCTCTTCTCCTACTATGGAGGTAACAACAAATTTAGAACTGCACCACTCAAGCCCAGAGAAGTTCCCAAAATTTTGTATGTCCTCATGCACACAAGATTCTGCCTGATAGCCTTACCAAATTATTTTTGGAAAGTGCAACTGGACAGAAGCAAGGTTCTAGGCTAAAAAGGTTTATTTCGTTTGGAGTGAAGGGAGATGAGGAGGTCTGCAATAACCTAGATTTACAACTTTCATGACAGGGCCTCTCAAAAGGGTTTTAACCAAATGGGATATGGACTATGCGGAATTCAAAGTGGCCCATAATATGGTCCATAAACACTGAACTACACGGTCTAAGGTTTCCTGGTCTCCTGAGATTGCATTTCCAACTCTCAACATAGTCTTGATTGCTATTGTTTCTTATTCCCACATAAAGGAGTTGAACTTAACCCAGAGTCGGTTTCTTGATATGCAAATACAGGTGAAAGCTACCTTTTTTCACTATCTTCTTATGAATGGCCCAAGACATGCAGATGGAGACCATAATTTCAATGGTGAAAAGTGAGATTGAGTTCAGTTGATATTTTCAATGGTAAGACCATTATGACAATATCTTATCTTTGTATTTTATCTCACTTTCCATGAATTAACCAATTTAATCTTCACAAAGACCGATGGAGTGGGTGTTCATTATTTTTATATTACATATAAGGACATAGAAATTCAAAGAAATTAAATAGTTTCCCCAACATTCCATAAAAGTGATGAGTGGTAGGGCCTAGATTCAGTCCAGATCTCCCTCTCCAATGCAGTGATCAGAGTCAACAGGGAGAATATCAATATAACATAGAAATTTCACCAACCACATTCCATTCTCACACTGCAATTCCATTGTGTGCGTAATCAGCATTGACAGAAGGAATAGGGCTCATTGTTATGTGAAGACATGGTCATTTCCTCTCCATCTATTACCCATCTCCAGCTCCTCTCCAGCCCCAACCTTCACTGCCCACATGTTGATCAAAGCCTGCTCACCAGGTGACTCTCTCACATAGGCGAGTTTCCCTCTTTATACTTCATTTTTGAGTAGTAGGTGCATCCAAGGTTGGAATTGGAGGACTAGTCACAATTTCAGTTCATCAAGACACTTGGATAATCAGTCATCTTATACCACGATATCATACCCCCTTTCTCTGATGACCTTCAGTACTAGACAATCTTTATTTGATAGTTTCCAGTCTTTCCAAACCAATCTGACTAACTTCCATTTTTCTGTATCCATCCTTTTCAACTTAAACAGATAAATTGTCTACATAAGACAGTTATGCTGAACATAAGTATAAACTATGGTTGTTTTTAGCAAACAATCATAGTCCTTGAAAAGAAGGCTGAAAAGTTTAAGTATTCCTCTCATTTCTAAGAAGTCAGTATTATCCAAAAACAAAAACAAAATAAAAGATTGTCACCAAGAGTTGACAAATCCAAAAAAAAATGTATTGGGCATCCTTAATTGTTAACTTCCAAACCTCATTCAGATACACCTTGGCTAGATAAAACATGTCCCAGCCATGATATTCATTTATATTATATATATAATAGGTCCATATAATTGCATCCATCTGTCCATATTTACATATATATATGAAAATGTGTATATATGTATTTTCACTTATATATAAACAAAAAGCCATAACTTCATTCCAATAATCTAATTCCATTCCGACACAGGATTTATTCTAACTTCCTCTCTTTCCATATCTGTTACTCCTTTCTCTGATCATGAGAAACCTGGCTCTCACTATCTTTAATGTAATTACTTAGTTGATCAATAGCTCATGTGTCACTGATCTGCCATTCCCCACCCCTTCCCCACCACTCACAGACTCTGAACCCCCTACACACACAAGGATGCCCTTCTGATTCCACCTGCTTAGACCTACTTAATGGTTTTTGGACTGAATCATTCAAGAAGAGAAGTGGGAAAAAGAGAGAAAGGGAGAGAAAACATCATGTCTTAATAACTGTAAGAGAATCACTCTATATCTAGTATATAGTATTCCTTGAATCAGAGAGGCCACAAGACAATAAACGCAATGAGTCCAGGGGCCTTATTTGACACATCCCCATATCCCGAGTTTTCATAACAGCAACTGGCACGTGGTGGGTGCTTCATAAATATTTGTAAAGAAGATGAATAAATGAATCAGTATGTTCACAATAGTCTCACACAATAAATGCTCGTGAAAATTTTGTCCTTAGCCAATTTCCAGGTTTCTCAAAAATTTCCAACATTTTTAGGGTGTGAAACAAATCTATGTGCTGTGTGGCCTTGTAAATAGTTTATTAATGACTTTCACCAAAGTTATGCCAAATGAAGTAGAAACAGATGAAATATTTCCTTCCAGGCTTTCTTGAAAATTTGCAGGGTCAGGAATAAGCTAATGTCCTTCCCAACTCCTGCAGTACACACCAGCAATTAGGGGGTGTGTTCCTAATTACCAAAATGGATAAGAAAAGACAACTATACCCAGACATAAGTAAGTGTCAACAAAATACAATGCATGTCAGCCAAAAAGGAAGTCAACTTCCTATTAGAAACAGTGGCAAGGGAAGGCGCGGGGGACTGTTAATGAAAAGACCAGGGAAACAATGATTACGGTTCTGTTCTCTACCTGAAAAGACCCATAGACCCAAAAGCAGAAACAATCTCAGAAACATCAAAATCCGCCTTGGCATGATAGCCCAAAACCAAGACGCCAGATTTTACTGTGTGTGGTGGATGGATGAGTTTTATCTTCCAAGGGTGGAAGTGAGGAGTGACTCACAGGCAATTTAAGAATGCAATCGGAACCTGAAGGAGCTCCACCCAGACCCATCTCTCAGATAACCAGCAACCCCAGGGCAACTGCCCTCCTACAGGAATGAGCCCAGCAAAGTTAGTTACTAATTAGAAAAAATCACCCAATTATGTTAACTTGCTGAGGCTGGCAAGCCCTGTTTTACTCTATGTAGGCAAAATTCCATCCAGAACACACTTGAGAAGTGTCTATAAAAAGGCAAAGCCTACGGTTGCAACGAGAAGGCTCTCGCTCGTCTCACACGCACAGCCCAGCGACACCCTCGTCCCGACACCATGTCTCTTCGACTTTCCAGCGGATCCAGGAGAACCTGCACCCGACCCACCACAGGATCGCTCAGGCTCTCTGGGGGAGCCAGTTTTGGGGCTGGAAATGCTTGTGGCGTGCCAGGGATTGGAAGTAGCTTTTCCTGTGCCTTCGGAGGCAGCTCTTTGGGAGGAAATGCGGGGGGAAGCACTTCCTGCGCCAGCTTCACTGTGAATGAGGGGGGCCTCCTCTCCGGCAATGAGAAAGTGACCATGCAGAACCTCAATGACCGCCTGGCCTCCTACCTGGACAACGTGCGCGCCCTGGAGGAGGCCAACGCCGACCTGGAGCAGAAGATCAAGGGCTGGTATGAGAAATTTGGGCCTGGCTCCTGCCGTGGTCTCGATCACGACTATAGTAGATACTTCCCCATCATTGAGGATCTTAAAAATCAGGTGAGAAATTATACTTCACGATCATTTCTATGTACTTTTCTTTCTAACTGTTCTTTTCCTTCTTCACGGAATACTAAAAATATGTATCATCCCTGCTTGTACTTTCTTAAAGGGTATTTCAATTTAGCACAGGAAGTGAGCGTGGAATAGATTCAATCGGTTAACCCCATCTAGTAGCTCATCACTGTCTAGTGACTCTATCCATTTTCTAATCTAAAAACACCTTGATGGTGATAAATTGCTTTTTTAAAAGCTGAATTCCCCATTTCTAGATCATCGCTTCCACCACCAGCAATGCTAATGCTGTTCTGCAAATCGATAATGCCAGGCTGACAGCGGATGATTTCAGACTCAAGTAAGTCAACTCACAGTGAAGAGAGTTCACAGCAATTAATGTGAAGTATTGACTGAATTTATTATTTTTTATTCTTCCATAAACGATTATCAAATCTTATTCCAGAACTGTAACCCATTCGGATAAACTGTGTTATTGCTTTTTTATACTTTGGCTATGAAATATAAAGTATGAACAGTACTTATACAAATAGTGCCCCATATCTTAGTTCTTTTTCTGTCCAAGAAATACCTCAAAATAAATAATTATTAGAATATGATAAACCTAGAAAATGTGCCTGGTGGTCAAATCTGCCACCACAAAATTCTAGAATTCTAGCTTTTGATCACTGACTGGTGACCCTTTCTCCAACCATGTGACAAACTTGAAAATTGCTAACACTCTTTCAGGTATGAAAATGAGCTGGCTCTTCACCAGAGCGTGGAAGCGGATGTCAATGGGTTACGCAGAGTTCTGGATGAAATAACCCTGTGCAAGACGGACCTGGAGATTCAGTA